AAATGTACCAATAAAAGAATCTAAGGGGAAATATGTTGTGTGTACACAACTTGTATTATAGTTTTATCTTAAGAACAATTCTACCAGGTAAATACTATTTGCTGATCATTCCCTCATATTCACTCACTGAAGACTTGGCACCTAGATCTCACTTTGTTTTTTACCTTTTGTGTAAGCATCATTCTGGACAACTTCAGTGTCCATGAAAGTGACTGTCCTCGTTCTACTTTTATACATTCTTGACCACCTCAATTAAAGCAATCATCACCTACACTCCTCTTGAGAGCCCTGGATATGGTCAGCCTTGGGACCTATCCACACCCTATATTGATCCTTGAAGTCCTGAGTCTGTTCCTGGCAACCATTCAGCCCCTAGTTAGTCTCAGTTTACTATTGGCATTCGCCTCAACACCCCCACTTCCCACATCTCTGCTTGTACTTCTCGTTAGCATGGTAAAATTTCAGTCCTGCATTTCCCCCACAGTTCACCTTATTTTATTTTATACTTGACTGGTGGGTACTGCTAAGAAAATCATTCCACCACATAGCTTGGTATTCACATAGTTTCACAATCTCTCCTCCTGTAGGTCCTTAACACCATCCACTATGCTTTCCCCCGGCCTTGGTCAGTCCCTTTGTCCCCTCAGTGACAGCTCCTCACAGCCATTCCTCTTTTTTCACTCCTGACTGAACTTGAAAGTTTTCCCAAAGAAAGCCTATTGGGTATGAACTACACCAGTATTCTGTCCCTTTTCTTACCCACAAATCTAACCATATGTCTCTGTCCATCTATGGCTCTCTCTTTCCATTCCTAGAGAATATTTTTCCACTCTTAACCCCAGCCCAATTTCACACTCTGGACTCCACACTCTGTTCTCCTCTACTCACTGCCCTTTCTGATTCATTTATTCTCTCTGTCCCTTCTACTTCCCAACTCTCATACCTCTAACTTTTTCTCTCTAGTCTGGCACATTCCCCTTTCCTTCCTAAGGTGATCATGTCTCTCTCATTGAACAACAAAAACTAAAAACCAAAATAAAGTAAAAACCTCTTTCTCCTCCTTTAGTCATTCTACAAATACTGACTGTGTCCCTTCTGGGTGCCACACACATTAGTATTCGATGGGCTGCAACACGAAGAAAACAAGATTCCTGATCTCATGGAGCTAAAGGACTAGAAGAAGAGACAAACATGTAAACAGGCATTTCCAGTGAGGTCAGAAGATATAAGAAGGGTAGTCGCAAGTGCCACAGCAGCCATAGTAAGGATTGGTGTCTGTGGATAGTGAGGACCAAAGAAACTTCACAGACTTATTGTTGTCTGCCAAAAGTCCCACTTCACCCTCTATCCTTTGAAAGAGGAGCCATGACCTAGCCTTTCTTTCCCCATTTTTCCACTCACTCCTCAAAGCTCTGCAATATGGCTTTGGCTTCTGCCATCCACTGGCCTCAACCTACATCTTGCCAAACTCCTCCTGAAAACCCTCTAATGTCCCACAACCATAACTGCTTCTCTTTGCCACTCCTTACCCCTCACCTTTCTGACCAGGTCTTAAAGTTCTATCTGTTCTGTTCACCTCCCCTTAAATGACCATTTTCCTCAAATCCCATCCTTGCTTATGTGTGTTCTCACACTAATTGCTGTGATGAGACCCTTAATTCTAACAGTCTACTCTACTGTCTATATGCTGATGATACACACATTGTATCTTCAACTCTGTCTTCTCTAATGTAGTCTTATACAACCAGCCGCCTTTTGGACCTGTCCACCTGGCTCCTCTTTCTGTACACTTCAAACTCAAAATGCCACAAACTGAAATCATCATCTCTCCAAGACTGGCCACTTTCCTCATATACACCAGCTAGTGACTCATCAAGTCATAAATATGGAAGTCATTTCTCCTTTTCCTTTCCCTCCTGTTCTTACCTTCAATCAATTCTGCTGATTGCCCCCACCTAAATATTTATAGAACCTGACCTTTCCTCTTGATGCCTACACTACCAGTGCTCTAATTCAGGTATTCACCCTTTCATCTAGATTATCCTCATAGCCTCTGAACTGATTCCTTGTTTCTAACATTTTACATCATCCTTGAAAAGCCAGTAATATCCTTCTAAAATAAAGCCTGGCCATTTTACCACATGCCTGAAACCTTATTTAGTATTCTATCTCCTTAAAAATAAAATTCTAAGCTCCATCATACAGCCTACAGCCCTCTCTGTAACCTTGAACTTACCAACTCTCTAGTCTCATCTCTCATTCATTCATTCACTCAAAAATATTCACTTCCTAGCATGTGTCAAGTGTGATTGCAGGTGCTGTCAATATACAGTGAATGAAGGAGAGAATAAACAAGAAATATCAGTAAAAATATATAGTATGTTATCTGAGTTAGTGCCAAGAAAAAAAATGAAGTATAAATGTATACAAAGTACATAGTAGGAGGTACATAGTTGCAATTTTAAATAGAATAGCACTCAGGGAAGATGTACATACAAAATTAAACCCTTCCCCCCTTACATACACCAGGTACATTTCCATGAAAAGGCGTTTGCACTTTTCTGTTCCCACTAAAATTGTTCTTTCTCAATTGTGTGTGTGTGTGTGTGTGTGTGTGTGTGTGTGTGTGTGTCCAGGAAACTGCAAAGAGGCTTGATATCTGAAGTAGAGTGATCAAGGGAGAAACAAGTAGAAATGAATTACAGAGTAGTATCATAAAGACCACTGCAAGGAATTGCTCTGATTAAGAAGGGAAGCCATTAGAAGCCACTAGAGAAGTTTAAGGAGAAAAACCAACACGATCATTTTTAATATTCTCATCCTGGCTGGCCCACCAAGATTAGAGTGAAAAGGCCAAGCACAGAAACAGTGAACCCAGTTTAGAGGCTATGGTGAAAATCCAGGCAAAGGATGGCAATCATGAAACCAGAGGAAGAGCAAGAACTCACATTTGTGATGTGCTGTGTTAGGAAGAAAGTGCTGGGCAATTTGGAAAATGTCCTGGATGTAGCACATAGGAGAAAGTGGTAAGTCAAAGATGATATAGAAGGCTGAGGATTTAGCTCAGTGGTGTCACCGCCTGCCGCACAAGCACAGGGTCCTGAGTTCGATTCCCAGTACAAAAAAAAAGATGATTTAAATTTTCCAGCCTGAGCAACTTGCAAAATGGATTTACTGACATGAGAAAACTTAGAAGAATAAGTTAGGAAAAAATGAAATTATGAGTTTACTACTGAACCAGAACCAAAACCTCTGTCTGTAAAAGGCCAGATAGTCTTTTAGCCTCACGTGGTCTGTTACAACTACACAGCTCTATCACTGAAGTACAAAGGAAAAAATACATAAACAAATCAGTGTGCCTCTGTCTCAACAAAACTTTACTTATGGACACTGAACATTGCTTTCATACAATCTACACAAAATATTGGTCCCAATGTTTTTCAATTACTTAAAAATCATTCTTCCTACCTAGGCCATACAAGAAAAGTGACAGGCCAGGTCTGCTGACCCATGGCATACACAAGATTTAGCTTTCACCAACAGAACTAAGTCTTCCAACATATAGTTCAGGGCTGCTTCTGTGATCCCACAAATGCTCATGTGACTTGGGGGAAAGTATATCTTCAGGGCCCTTGCTCCACCACTCAGATGCTGCTATGAGTTAGCTGACCAAATGGTAATTTCTTAGGAGTGAGCATTTACTCCCTAAAATAGAAGGACCTACAATATATAACAAAATATTAGCAAATTCAAACATTTATGTATTCCCCTTCTGAGAAAAATACCCATACAGAAACTGAGGAATACCCTGAAAGATATACCTTCACTCCAATGTTAAAGGGGAGGAAAAAAGAACTTTATTAGCATTTAATGGCAGGAAGTCTCAAGATAAATTCTTGGAAGTGAAAAAACAAAAACTAGAAAAATAAACCATGCCTGTGAAATCAACAGAATGCTTTTTAAAGAAAATAGTTGGTCTTCTCTGAGTAGTTTCAAATGTTCAAATTTAAAACTTAAGCTTCTAAAATAAATAGATTGACTTTAAAAAGAAAAGAGTCAGTTCCCCTTCCCCTTTGCACCTTTTCTTCGTATTTCACATGATCCATTATACCTTTCAGTCCTTATTTACACTTTAGGGGACAGGAAAGAAGGTAATGTAATTAATAAGAGAAAAATTAAAAATGGAAACAAAGTCTCTGTCGATAGGGAGGGGCAGAGGGGTTGAAGGGAGGGCAGAGGAATGGGGAAAAATAAGAACCAAGATGGATTATGTAAAGGTGCTAATTTCTAATGATGAATGTCATTATATTGTATGCCTAAAATGTACCAATAAAATTAATTAAAAAAAGAAAAGAGTCAGCATCTAGAAAAAGAGCTGTACTAACAAAACAGATATATATAGTCAGAAAATTTGAAATCTTTTAACAGAGGGGAAAGCAAGAAGTATCATTCACGGACTTGGTCAAATACCAGGTGGATCCTGAGTCAAGGGCTCTCCTGCTTCCCTGGGGGCCCCTGATGACACAATAATACCATCAGCAGCAGACCCTGGTGACCTTGTTAGAACATCCTCTGTAAGAAGTCAATCCTAACACTACATTGTGTGTAAACCTTGTGATTGGTAACGACAGCTTTGGCTTCTGTCAGACTCGGGGTAAAATCTCTGGGCAGCAGTTTATTAATGGTATAATCATGATGATTGCTTTAAATCTCCAAGCTTCACTTTTCTCATCTGTAAAGTGGGGATAAAGATGTCAACCCCCCATATTAAGTGAGATAATATTTGTAAAACCTTTAACCAAGTGCCTTGTTCAAAACAAATGCCCAATAAATGAAAATTAAGATATTCTTAGATACATTAAAATTCTCTTCTGTGTTTCATAAAGCATCTAATTAGAGATTGGGACAAATGTCAAAAACAAATAATAATCCAAAAGATGCAAACACCCAACTCTTTGCTGACTTTACCAACACATTTAAGATACCATAGGATACCATACCTTCTCAAAGGTACACTGAGGGTTTCTGCAGACAACAGCTTTGCAGATGATGATATCACCATGGCAACGGCAGTTCTGGCATGAATCGGGCTTCCAAATTGTGGCATCCTACAAAGAAGCATAAACCTCTGAGTTAAAAACTGATCAGTCAAGGTCTGCTCACACTAAAGCAGTCCCAATGACTGTTCTGCATTCTGAACAATTAAAAGGCAAAAGAAAGTCACAAGCACACCTCCCACAGTCATCACTGGGCACTGATTAAGCCCCTAGTGGCAATAAAAGCAGTGTGATCCATTTCACAACAGTCAACCCACGTAGTTTAAGACAAGGACATTCAGCACCAAGCTGTCAATACCCAGAGTAAAAGCCATCGATCGGCCTGAAACCTCAGGGGGACACTCCGCTCCCTGGCTTGAAGTTTCTTTTCACTGTTAACTAGCAGAAACCATCCGAGCAGGTTTAAAGGGAAATGATACTTTGACTACCACTAACCAGCATCCTGAACCAATATTTGCCACTAGATGCTACGAGCACTGGGGATTTCACTTCCCAGACCTCCACAACTACAAACTCCAACACTCATTGCAGATGGGATGGATGTAAATGAATGGTTCTAGTTGCTAAGAGAGCCACCAAACACATGTGCATGAAGTGGCTAAACAGGCCCCACTATGTGTGGAAGCACGGACACATTCATGAGGCTCTCACATATTTTTCTGGATTATGAACATGAAGGAAATAAATAAATACACACTGAGGGTCCTATGTCATTACCCAGTAAATTAGAAAACAAAACAATGGTCATGAGCAGAAATGTGAATCTGGGCTCTGTTAGGTCTCAGAATTTCTTTCCTATTTCTCACCTTCTCTCACACTGAACATTTGATTTGTGCCCATTTTGAAATGATTTTTAGCCCAAATCTCTTCACAGAGACCTGCTTCTGAAAGGTTGCTCTGATGACTTTGAATTGAAGCAGTAACGATACCATAGGCTGTGCTGAAATCCATTTTCTCAGAGGTTTCCTAGCCCACATTTCTATTCTACATGGTTTCTAATAATAGAGTTTTAAACACTGAACCTTTTTAAAATGCTGTCCATGTTATTCTCTAGTTTAAAGCTAACATGCAGCTCCTTTTCACCTCAGAAGGGATAAAATGTGGACCCTATAATCTGGCCTTCTCGTGTCTCCCTGGGCTTGCTGAATCTTGCAGTCCTGGGGCTCCTTTCCGTCCAGCTACTTGACAGCCTAGCCTCCTTGGATCTGGCTCATGTCTCACTCTCCTCCTGGGATCCTACTCTTCCCTGACTTCTCCAGAGAGAGTCCACTAATCATCACTTTCCTTCCCAGCCTGCACCACAGAGATGACTCCTTTCTAACCCCTAACCCTATTCAGATGCAGCTCTTTATCACTCCTCTGCCACCCCATGTCCTACACACAGTGCTACACTCCACTGTCCTCACTGAAATCCCGTTAGGGTTGCCAGACCAGACTTGAGCCCATTCCTTGGCCTGGCACACTGTAGATCCTTAAAAACAGGAGTTAATGTCTGCAAGTCACTTGTGAAGGCTTTCTCTTCCTTTCTAAATTTTATCTTTTTTCCTCAGTCAACAAATTAAAGTGCTACTAAATACTTTAGGGGGGAATAAGAGGAGTTTCTAAGCTCTGGATAGTGTCATCAGAACACCAGCATTCAACGTGGGCTGGAATGGCCTGGAAACCTGGTAGATGTTAGCAATAGACATCTTCACACACAATGGCGAAAACCAAATGGATGGTTAATTTTAGGTGTAAACTTAGGTAAACTATGGTGCCCACTTGCTTGGTCAAACATTAGTCTAAATGTTGCTGTGAATGCACAAGTGGCCCCCAATTTATGATTTTTTCCCTTACTCTCTGATGAGGAGAAAGATATATATTTAGTAGAAACAGAACATTGAATTTTGGATTTTGATCTTTTCCTGGGCTAGCAATACATAGTATGATACTCTCTTGAAGTGCTGAGCAGGGGCAGCAAGCTACAGCTCCTAGTTAGCCACACAATCATGAGGATAAACAACTGATGCTCTAGTCTACTGTCTGTTACGTAGCTATGATGCTCAGTAGTGAGGTATATTAAATGCATTTTCAACTTATATTTTCAATTTATACTCATCACGATGTAACCCCATCAAAAAAATCAAAGAACATTCATATTTTATAGATGAGAGGGACATGTACCATAGGTGACTTTTAAGTAAAGGAGATTACCGTCCATAACATGGGAGGTTCTCATCTAATCCGCTGGTGGCCTCAATTGCAAAAACTGAAGCTCCTCAGAGAAGAGGAAATTCAGCCTGAAGACTATAACATGGAAATTCTGCCTGAGTTTCTGGCTTGCTGACCTGCTTATAAATTTTGAACTTGCCACTCCTAACGAAATCAATAAATGTATGAGTCAATTCCTTAAAACAAATCCCCACCTTGTATTTTTCTGAAGAACCATAAGTAATACACCAGCACATGCACACATTTACATGGGTATGCACAACATTCCCAAGCAAAAATAAAGTCTTTGTTTTGGATCAAGAAAAGCTAAATTCATAACCTCCTAGGGAATGTGCTTCAAACACAGGGGCCTCACCAAAGTCATTTAAGAAATGTAAAATATATCTGAGGTGAGATTACATTCTCAGTGTCTGACCCACAAATTCTGAACGAAAACAAATGAATACCAAAAGCTGATGTGGAATATCTCTTTATTATTATAGCCCATTCTTCAAAACTGGCTATAGTTTGACAACTATAGTCTACTCTTAACCCAAGGAGTGATGACAAGAAGGTGAAGAAAAACAAATTTCATTTTCAAGTACAATGTAATATATGTTTCCTGCTGACTTTAGGAAAACCATCTCTGTTTCAGGATATGAGCTAAATAAAAACGACAATTTCACAAAACCAGTAGCTACCATTCATTGGTCATACAATGACCACTCTTGGAGCAGGAAATGCTGATCACAGGGGCAATAGTGGTCCAGGATGAGAGTGGTTTTCCCAACATCTGTCATCATCCAGGAAGGCTGGGGAGAGCAGCTAGGGGTCAGAGCTACACCAGGTACTTGGCTGCATAACAGCCCCATGAAACTGGCACTACTAATATTATTCCCATTTCACAGATGAGTGAACAGGATGAAAGAGATAAAGGAATTTGCACACTTTCACAAAGTTTGTATGAGGTCTAAGGACTCAGGCTCTGGAGGCAGACTGCCTGGGTTTGAATCTTAGTGTCACCATTTATTTTATTTTATTTTATTTTGTATTTGATAATTGACTTTTGTTTGTTTGTTTTTGTTTTTGGCACCAGGGATTGAACTTGGGACCTTGAGCTTGCAAGGTAGGTGCCGGAACCACTAAGCTAAATCCCCGGCCCTTATAACTGACTTTTAATAACGAGACTTTAAAAGAAGAAACATACAGAGATCCTCACACAACTTGGGAGCCATTTAGGTAAGTAAATATTTATTACACAAAAAGCTTTAAAAACTAAAAATCCTCAAATTTTGAGAGAATGGTGTTCAAGTCTTTGATATCCATTTGTACATGAGAAAACAAGTATAGTGGACCCTTGACTTATGAACTCAATTCATTCACCAGGGCTGTTCTAACTCAAGTTGGTCACTTGAAGGCTCAGGCTCCTCTACGCAGCCTTAGAAGTCTTGCTCCTGTATACAGGCAGATCTCAGTGTCCTCAAAGAGACATTGGCTCAGGATTTCTCAATTAACCCCACACAGGAAAGGATGTTGTACTGTTCCTTCCAGAACTCTTTAAAGGTTAAATCTGTATGAGACCATCTGGAAACACAAGCAGCCAGCATTTGTTTCATAACTCAAGATTTTGGTCATAAGTTAAACTAAAATTGTAACCCAAGTTGTTTGTATGTCAGGCCAGTTGTAACTCAAGGGTCCACTGTATTTCAATATAAAGGAAAACAAGTCTTGAGTGCTTACCCTTTCTTCCAGTGTAATTTCCTGCCTAGCCTTTCTTTTATGACTGCACAGAGCTCACACCACAGTACTTCATCTATACAGCACTGGTGTTAGCTCAACAAGACTGGCTTATGCACAATAAGCCCCTATATCCCATTTCACATGTCCTGTCTGCTACTCATTATTTTCTGACAGGTTTGCACAATCTTGTACTGAACATTTATACTCACTGTAATTGAGCTTGGGAATTTCAGATATCCAAAGTCAACTATATGTACACAATTCTATTTTATTGCACAGGTCAATATGTAGCAGGTGATTATATAACCAACCATAAATTAAGATGAATAGTGACTATTTAGGCAAAAAAGCGCCAAAATTTATCCCCAACCACAAGTGAAACAAGTGAGACACAAAGTTACAATATAAAGGATGTGTTTGTGGTGCAGTACTCAGGGATCATATCACTCAAAAAGTGTGTCAAAACAGCATTCATGACATTTCTGGTGGGATCAGACATGAAGCATAGGACACAAGACCTGGCCCTGTGCTCATGAGCTGTATCTGCCACCTATGTAACAGATGTGAGGATTTCAGAAAACAAGAAGTTGACACCAAATAGCTTTCAGTAGTGTTCTTTGGCCTGTTGAAGAATCAGGACTTGAAGGGAGTTGCAGAAATGAATGAAGATGGTACCTGGGTTCCTGGCCCCCTCATTCACCTGTGGAACTTGAGCACCTGTAGGCATGTCTAGGAGCACAGCACAGCACAGGGGACTTAGGTGTCCCACCTTCGCCCTGGGAGTGAACTCCATTGGCCTTCAGCTCCCTGGGGCTTGCTTTTGTCTACACTCCATGCAGGAGATAGATTTTACTTGTAAAGCACTTTGGTAAAAAATTTAGGAAAATGCTTTGGTATTTGCCCTATCAAAGAATATTTGGCATTTTGAAACAATTATTAATATTTTTAATAGTTTTAACTCATTCTTAAATTTGTCACTTTTTACTCTTCCTGAAGACCAAACTACAAATACATTACCAGAGATGGTTTTATGTTGTGCTACAGACTTAATTTGACAAAAAAAATTCAGAACTTGCAGCCAACAGTTTTATCTGAACTTTAAGCCAAAATATGTAATAAGT